GCCCCCCCCCCCCCCACTTCCAGCCTCGCATGGGGTCAGGAAGAGAGAAGAGTAGGGCTGGAGCCGTCTTCTGCCTGCAGCGGGCTGTGGGTCGCTCCCCGGTAAGCTCACATGAGGTATGGGAAGGACCAGTCGCTAGTCACTTTCCCCGCTTGCTGCTTCTACCAGAAAGAGGCAGCAAGGAGAGGAGTGGAGGGGGTATTTCAAAGCGGCAGCACCACCTGAAGCCAGGGCCAGACCCCGGGCTCCACACAGCACTGCCGCTTTGAAACGCCGCCTGCAGCCCAGGTGTCCCAGCCCGGTAAGCTCACATGAGGTATGGGAAGGACCAGTCGCTAGTCACTTTCCCCGCTTGCTGCTTCTACCAGAAAGAGGCAGCAAGGAGAGGAGTGGAGGGGGTATTTCAAAGCGGCAGCACCACCTGAAGCCAGGGCCAGACCCCGGGCTCCACACAGCACTGCCGCTTTGAAACGCCGCCTGCAGCCCAGGTGTCCCAGGCTACCCGCAGTGCGTGGACTCCCCCACTGGTCCTGGGCTCCACGCAGCACTGCTGCTTTGAAACGCCGCCTGCAGCCCAGGTGTCCCAGGCTACCCGCAGTGCGTGGACTCCCCCACTGGTCCTGGGCTCCACGCAGCACTGCTGCTTTGAAACGCCGCCTGCAGCCCAGGTGTCCCAGGCTACCCGCAGTGCGTGGACTCCCCCACTGGTCCTGGGCTCCGTGTGGCGCTGCTGCTTTGAAACCCTGCAGGGAGAAGGTCTGCAGTGACCTACCCACTGCTGCTTGTACTGCCCCCACTTGGATGGTGCACAGCCCTGCAGGGACCCACAGAGCCTCCTGACCAGGGGAGACACACCTGGGCGTGGGAGAGCCTGGCTTTTGGCGGCCAGAGCAGGCCCTGTGCTGTGGCCAGGCCATTGTGGAGAATGGGAAGGGCCGGCTGCTGCCCAGACACTCACCTCTTTTTGCTGGGGATGACCCCAATCTGCTCACTTTCCCCGTGGGGGGTCACAAGTCTCGCTTGCCACCACTCGTCATCGGAGGCGTTGATGACATGCAGGATGTCCCCGTAGGAGAAGCTGAGCCCCTGGCTCGGCAGGCAGCTGTCCCGGGTCCTGTCATAGTCAAACAGGGCTCTGCAAAGGGACAGAAGAAGTGAGACCCCCCTGCTGATAATGGTACAGTCTGCCATAGTCAGTGGCTACTGGACAGCAGGTGATCAGACCAGGCCTTGCTCCGTAACCTCCTGGGGTGGGGCTGGAAGCCCCCCGAGATCCTGACCACGTCTGGGATTCTCAGCAGCTAGTTCCCCCCTTTTCAGACCTGGCCGTGCGGTGAGACCCTCTCCCAGCAAACCGAACCGCTTGCCCGAGGCAGGGCAGCGTTGCTCACGGCGCCGGCATCCCTAGATCGTGGGGTGCCGAGTGACCCTGGCAGCGCTGGGCTGGGATGCAGAGGGAGCACCCGGCTCTCAGCGTTGTGTGCAATCGGCACCCACCCCACTGCACCTGCCGTGTCTGCGTCTGCATCTGGTGTTAGCAATTACCGGTAGAGCCAGCAGAATTTGGCGACCAGGTGTGTGGGCAGCAGTCAACAAAACATCTCGCAGGCCACACACACAACCCGAGGGGCCACAAGCTGCCCACCACCAGGCTAGAAATTCTCCGCTTCCGATGCCTAAGTGAGCAGGGTTTCTTGAGAAAGTCGTGCTCCACACCAGCCTCAGAAGTCACGCAGGCCTTTGTGCGGGCCTATGACCATGTTTGTATTGCAGCTTCAGGCTTCCCGTCCTCACTGCCTGGGCCCAGAAAGGCCTTGCAGCCCGTCAAAGCCGGCTCCCCACACTCCTGCCCTGGCTTTGAAGTGGCCGTCATTCTCATTTTGGAGGAGATTAAATGAGCCCTGAGCGTCAGATGTTTCTGCACCCACGTGGGCCACAGAGTTCACATCAGACCCGCTCCCCACGCCAGGCGGGCGCAAGAGCAGAGAAGGGAATC